TGGGACGGACTAAAAATGAAAGTTTGAGGACTTTCATCAAAAAGGGGGAAATTGTTAGGAATAATTGTAATTAGATTTTGATGATGCTATATTAATTAGGACTTTAGAGTACCCCTCTTTAGTAATTTGTTTTAGAAATTTTCCTTGTAAAGTTTCTTAGTTTAGTCGACTGACAGAAGACCTGCTGACAGAAGACCATCGGTTAGACTTAGGATGTTTTTACTTGGACTGTAATTCGTCCCAGACCAGACCAGACCAGACCAGTTCAGACCAGACAAGACCATACCAGACTTGGGTAGTTATAAAAATACAAAGAAACCAGACCAGACCAGACCAGACCAGACAAGACCAGATCAGATCAGACCAGACCAGACCAGACCAGCAAATTACAGTCCAAGTAAAAACATCCTTAGTCTGAAAAGAAGAACTTTGGTTCTCTGTTGGTTCATATCCAGACAGAAGACCCCCTGGCTCTCTGTTAGACTTCACTTCAACAGAATCTGTCAAGAACCTCTGTTGGCTCGCACCTTGACAGAAGACCTAAAGACCCTCTGGTAGTTCATTCCAACAGAAGTGCTCAAGACCCTCTCTGGTAAACCCTCTGCTGAAGACACCAGAAGGCCTGACACTTGAAGAATTTTCATGGAACTACTTCAGCCGGTGAAAGCAACGGGAGATTCCTTCAACGGCTAGAAGACTTCAACGGAAAGGCTACAGTACGCTCATTAAATGCCCATTTAATGCAACCCGTACCCTGAAGAGTAAAAGCTGATGATTGGCCGACATTTAAGGATAACTTTATCCCAAAATAGCAACTCGCCAACTTTACCGGGTCCTACTGGTAAGTCAACTGTTCGCGCATTTAATGCAGTTGTCCTCCTCCTCCAACAGGAAGACAACCTCAGTATTAAAGATACTCCTTGAAGAACAACAAAAAAACGGAGAACTTTTGCTCAACACTTGCACGAACAAGATATTCAAACATTCAAACGCAAAAAGCCTTTTTGAGATTAAAAACTTCACCATCTTCAACAAGAAAGGCGTATGTTGGGAAGATAATATTTTTCTATCTTCATATCCCAACAAGAGCAAAGTTCTCACTGTTCTTCAACACTTCAAGCACTTCAACAACAAATCTTTTGTAACGAAGCAAGTTGGAAAACCCCTGTTCTCACAAGAACTCTTCTCTAATGAGAAGGACGTCCAAATAACTGGAGTAGTGAAGTGGTGATACTTCAAGGAAGCTCAGTGAAAGGATCAGTCTTAAAGGAAGCCAGGAAGTGCATCCCAGGAGACATCTAGACTTGAAGAAGACGTGGAGAGCTTCTTAAGTACTAGGGCTAAGGCTTTGTAATTAGAGTTTTTACAAGCTTAGTGGAACAGTGGATTAGAGGAACGAGTTGTTCCTTGAACCACTATAATGCCCGGCCCCGGATGTAGACATCTAGACTTGAAGAAGATGTGGTCAACCGGCGTATCTCCTCTGGCCCGGGACCCGGTCAGGGTGTGGTCGCTAGACGTATGATGCCTGGCCCCGGATGCATGAACTCTGTTGCGCTCTCCTAGATGGATTCATGACTGATTCGATGCTGTGTTTGTTTCTGCACCGGAGGTATCGTCCTCGAATGACTGCATCGTAGATGGGGTGGTATACCTAGTTTCCTCCATATAGCTGGATCGTCCCCCCTCCTTCTCATCCGCCAGGTGTTGCATGACCTGAGCAAAATCTCGCATGGCATGGGGGTTCCTCCTCAGAGCTTCGGGAATGAAGAAATCCCCATCAAAATGTGGGTAGGACCCCCGGCTGGATTGCCCTTGGGGGGTCCGGCTTTCCCCGCGTCTCCCAGAGTCTTCACTAGTGTGATGAGAGGTGATTCTAACCATGTTTAAGGATAGTTTGATGTTTAGTATGAAACTTTTTGTTCAGTGTTTCCCACAGACGGCGCCAATGTTGAAGTTTAGTCCCGCAGATCCGAAAGCCCAACACGAACTTTGGATATATCACGAAAATGGCTCAAGAATCACGTGTATAAAGAAATATAAAAGATGATTATCGAATACTCCAAAGCCCACTTGTATTAAGTAATTTGATGATTACACAGTAAGCTTCTCGAACGGTACGTCGGAATAGTGACTAATACAAGAAATCAGAGAGATCAATATATTCTAGGCTTTAAGTATCAAGAAGCTAACCCTTTACAATGAAATTAATCCTTCTATTTATACTAATGGGGGGTATGGGGTGCTTCATGTTGATTGGTAGCTTTATCTAGCCACTTGGAAACTCATACTCCCACTTGCTGCCGCCATACTTTAGCAATAAATGCTCCCTACCACTTGTTGGCTACCCGCTGCCCGAATGGGCAGTGGACCCTGCTGGAATCATCATTGATCTGGCCCAAGTACATTGATTGACCCGAGCCTCGTTCGGTACATATTTCTCCATGAATCTGTTCATCTTCTGGATTCTGGGCCCGTTTATCAGACTGGATATATTGGGTCTTAGATCAGGGTATTGGGCCTGCGGCCCAATATCCCAACACATAGCATTCGTAATGCCATATTCTTTGACATGTTTGCGAAATAATGTAATTTTCGAACAATAAATGTATAAACAACAACATTATTTATGACTTTTTATTTTTTTACTTTCTTCCCATATTTTAGATTTTAAATTATAATATGATGGTTAGGTTAATCTTATCATTGCGACGGCTTCATCCTAGGGTTTTTCCCAAATGGCGGTCTCTTCCCTCTTCGTAGGGTTCACTACAAAAAAATTACGGGATCGGCACGGAATTTGGCACGGACTTATCGATTTTTCGTGCCAAATAGCTCGTGCCAAAGTGTTTTTGGCACGGATTTGGCCAGATTCGAGATTCGAATGGAGGTTCAATTAGAGTGGTACCAATGATACGGCCTCCTCCTGAACCACTGCTATGGGTTGTACGAAGTGCTAGAGTCCGTGATAGTTTTCGTATTAGTTATTATTATTTTGTCATTTGGTTTCTTATTATCGTTTTGGTTGTTAGGTCTATCAGTTTGTTTGGGATGTTAGCCTCTTTTAATTTTGTCAAGACTCTAGAACCTAGGACAGGTGATGAGGAACTTAGTTTACTAGTCATTGGCTCAAGTAAGCCCAATTTAGGATCAGTGAATCTGGGTGCTTCATTAGAGGTGGCAGATTCTAAGTCTGGTTCAAGGGCAGACGGTAGACTATGTGTTCTTTGTCTGTTTGTACCCTGCTTACGTTCTTTCTTATTAATATAAGCCACTTGTTTCCAAAAAAAAATTATAATCTGATGGTTACATAATTTTCTACGAAAAATAAGAATCTAAAATGTCTTCATTTATCATCTAAAAATTCTATATTTTCACAATTTGAAGCTGCCATATTTCTATAGGAAAATGCCACTACTGTGTCATTACTCATATCAAATGGCATTCTCGTTGAAAGTTGCAGGAAGTTACCGAAGAGCGGTGGTTTCACCGGAGAATGACGGTGGCAAACACAGCAAAGGGCGATGACAGCGACAGACTAGCTAGAAGGTAAATGAAGTCTAATGTCTACACTTATCGCATAACATGTCGAACCAGAAGACCTGCACATTATCGATGGAAGACTTGTTGGGAGCTTGGAAATATTTAATTTTTCAATTAAGGGTAATTAAGTAATTTTGTAATGTTAGCACACTATTAGTCCTATAAAACATAGGAGTCATCTTGTGGCCCTTTCACATTATTTTAATCTTATTTAGGGAATACTCTCGATAGTTCGATTTTAAGCCACACTCAATTAAAATCGATGACCGTCTTAGCTTACGATTTAACAATTATATGAACTAATTGACTAATTCAACCCAGCCACCCAGGTGGTGAGGTTACAGTATAATAATGTGTTTTTATTTTCAATAATGTGTGATGCATACAAAAGCCATACACGATATATTCTAAATATTTTTGTATTAAAATCATGAGAAAATATTAAATTATAACTAGATAAAACTCAAGGACTCAATAAACAACTTTAGGAACAGTTAACATGACTAAGCTTATCCTGAGCCAAATGACTCGTTAATTACTTGATGGGAAGACTTCATGAGCTAATCATGACTAGTCTGGTTTTCTTGATGTAAATTTGAAGATGACCTAAAGCACTGAACTAAAAAATTACAGCAACCCAACTACAGTCTCACTCAATGAAAGCAGTAAAATAAAATCAAAACAATCCAGATTTAGCAAAAAATGTAGCAAAAAAGAAAAAGAGAAAATTAACAAAATTGAAATCAATATCTTGGTAGAAAACTACCCCCTTCACCACTCCACTTCTAGCTGCCTACAAAAAAACTTAGTCCTTCCTCGATCAGAATCTCGAAGTGCTATTTGTGTCGATCCACAGTTTGACCAGCAACTAAAAAATCTTGTTTTATGAAAGAAAAATGAAGAGCACAAGAAGTTGAGCGGCTATGGTTTACACCCATCCCAGCTCGTAACTCTTCCTCACACAAAAATCATACACACTAACTCCATTCTAGAAATTTGACATCCTTATCATCCATTTCTAGCACTCACTTTCTTCTCTCTTTTTCGCTTGCTTTTCTTTTTTGCTATTTGTACATCATCTTCTCCATCTTCATCACCATCTCTATCATCTTCCAGCCGCACCATTACCATATTCACAATGTACTATATTCATCATCTTTCCTTTGCATCGCCACTCATATTCATTATCTGCATCACCTTCCGTCTTCCCCAGTTCGTCATCATTTTTCAAGATAAAAACCCAGAGATGCAATGGAGAGTTGTGGGGTAAAAATTGAAGATGAAAAGTCATTGAAGTTATTGTCTATGTTAACTCTAAAAATTATCAGTATCATCCTAAACATTACTGAAATTTGTTCACATAAAGAAAATAAACTGAAACGTTAGTAATTGTTTGTAAAGGTAGACTACAAGCTAACAAAATATATGCACATACATTAACATTAGTATACATGCTAAGGTGAGCAATATGGAAAGTAACATTATTTATGATGGTAACATAATAAGATGTAAGATGTTGTATGAATGGAAGAAAAGACACAAAAGTCAATATGATCGACTAAGTTTGAGGATGGAGAACACACATGATGAACCCGATCTCGTTATAACTCCTAAGCATGAAATACTGACAAGTGTAATGTATTTATTACATACGTAGTAGTTCACATAGATACGTTAAACTAATTACAGTACTAAATAAAAAGTCAAAACAATCAAGCTCAGGTCGTCGCATGGATTCTGACCTTCTTTATACATGATCTCAAATCAGCTCGATCGCTCATCAGTACGACGACGTCCGCTGTACATATTTGCACTGACTAGTAACTGTTCATGATTTCCCGATGATGGATTATCGGTCGACGGCGGCTGCAGGAGAGGGCGGTCGACGGCGGGAAGACGCGTGAGATTATTACTGGGTTGCATGTTGAATAAATCTGGGTTTTCTTTCGCCATACCCATACTTGGATTTGAGCCCGACCCGTTACGATTGAACAAGGGAGATACGCCAAGGCCGTCCAGATGGGCTGACCCGGAAGCGGTGGAGAAGAGATCCAGCCGGCGAGAGTACGGCAAGCCGACGGAGAACGGATCCATCGGGATTCCGGTGAACTCCTGGACCATTTGCCGGAAATTGGCGGTGTCCGTCGTGAGCACGGTGGTGGGCGCCCTCCTTGAAGCCCGGCTCCGTTTCTTGGAATTCTTAACGGGCTGGGTAGGGGCGGGATCCGGCCCGCACAAATCAGCCGTCGGCTGCATGGGTGATGATGATGATGATGACGCGCTCAAGAACCGTTGGTGTTGACTCGCGGCCGCCGCCGCTGTGCCCAAGATAGCTGACAACGGCGGTGATGACGGCGGCGGAACGAAATCAGCCGCATAGTTGGGAAAACCGGGTTCGGGTCTTACTAATAACCCCGGAGGAGGAGGAGGCCAAACCAAATCACGACTGTTAATATTATTATCTACATAAAAAGACGAATTCAGATTTGGCAGCGGTTGTGGGAAAGTGGTGGCGGACAAAAACATTGACTGGGGTTGACCATAATCCATACAAAAATTATGAATGGACTCATCTCCTCCTCCTAGACGTGAGGAATCAATATCAAACTCTTCATTATCGCCTCCGCCGCTTAGAGATTGCATACTACCGCTACTTCCGGAATCCATAAAGTTTCCAGCTGCCACCAAATTAAAACAAAAGGAGAAAATTAAAGTATAGAGAAAGAGAGGGGAAATGAAATAAAAGTCTAGAGGATGGGAGGAGTGGGTAAAACTAATTATGAATTAAAGGATTAATTAAGCAAGAGTAAGTACGTAGTAGGAAAAGCTGCAAATAAAGGAAGGGAGTGGGAGGGGACAATAGTATTGATGATGGTTTGAAAAGTGGGCGATATATAGATCGAAACGCATAAAAGAGAGGTTTCTAAATAAATCTAACCTTATCAGCTAGACTTGAAAGAAGCTATAATTATGCTAAGAAAGCTACGCACCAAATTAATTACGAGTTCAAGTACGTATAGTAATAATAGTATGCATTAATTATTTACCGGAGCAGAGTCTGGACGCAAGCAGGATTAGGGGTTTTGGTTGATCACGAAAAAGTAATTAAAATTAAAAGAGATTATAATGGGCGGGCGAGACATGAAAAGCAATATGGAAAGTTAAAAGGCCGCGGCTTATTAGTTAAAGGTTTAATGAGGCCAGCTAATTAATTAATGTGATTGTAACTTTTTTATTGATCAATTTGTGTAGGCGCGCGTAGAGGAGGCGGTAGGTTATTAGGTCGTCGACGATGGAAGGTGATGGGCGGTGGGGACAGCACAAAGTATACGTATAGCTGCCGGTAGGTGCCAACGGGGGCCGGTCAAACTCGATCAAATAGGTGATGATGGATCCAGGTGGATGGTTGGTTCCCACTTAGGAGTTGTCAAGCTCCAATGGGATTAAGAATGATTTTACTTGTTTCCACTCTCGGATCAAACCAATCAAAACACGATAGAGCAAACATTTATCATACAGTTCAGACCAGATCAGATCAGAAAATTTCAAATCAAGTAAAAGCATCATAATTATATAAAAAAGTACGAGTATATACTACCTCTCTCCCACTAATAATGGGAAGAAAGGGATGACACGATTATTAAGAAAATTGGATTTATGTGGTTGATATTAATTAATAAAGTAAGAATAGAGTAAGAATGATTTAGAGCCACGTAAACTTTAGTAAAATTGGTATGATACAATTTTAGTGAGATTTTTCGAAAAGGTAAAGTAAGACAATATTAACGGGACGAAGGGAGTAATATAAAATTGACTCACGTACACAATTCAATTAAGCTTCTTACTTTAAGTTTCTTCAATTATGTCTCCAAGTATGTTTTTTTAAAGAAGTAGACTTAATTATCATTGATCAAATCTTTGGCTAAAGTCGATACAATAAAAGGAGGAGAATAAAACCAAGATTGCGAGTCAGACAAAGAACAAGCCCCTCTAGCTAACAAATGGCAGGCTTATTCACTGACTGCTTAATATGACAAAAAGAAATGTTCGGAAAGGAATTCGTCAAGTCTCTAATGTTTTCTTAAATAACCCACCAATGAATAACTCGATCCGTTCAACATTTCTGAAACCGCCCCCACTGCATCAGATTCAACCTCGACTGACGTCCCACCAAAATCTTTGAGCCAACTCAATGCCTCTCGAACGCCAACTAGCTCCGCACTCAGCGGCGACAAGTGTCCCGCCCACATCTTGGCCACACCAGCAATGAAGTTACCCCGTCGTCCCGAAGGCACCAGCTTAATCCGCATATGTCCGCTTTGGTTGCCACATCGACGTTCAGTTTCCAGGTGCCATGAGCAGGTCTGCACTAGGAAGTTTTACTCTGCTGGTTGACCTGATGTCTTCTTCCTTGGGTTGCTTTCACCTGCGCCTGCTCCCATCCATCAACCATAGCTCGAGCACGGTTGACCAGTTGTCACGCCAGTGTAGACTTCCCCTCCCAAACTCGTTGATTCCGCTCGCTCCATAGCGCCAACAACCCCAAATCAGCATCTCCAGGTCCTCCATTTTCTTCGACCGGAATTCGTTGTTGACTTGATCCAAGAAAGGAATGTCATCCCCAGTTGTCCACTGCCAATGAATATCTCTGCACAAGTCCTAGTGTAACACCGTCTCCAAATGTATTTATCTTTAAGCTAATAATTTATTGAACCCTATGAAATATTTAGTGAATTTACGAAGTTGTGAATTTGTATTTATTTTTCGCGTGAATAGTAAAATGCACGTGGGGCCCACATCGGGAGTGGGGACCGCCCGATATTATCGGGGCCACATATTATATTGATCTTGGACTAGATAATATGTATATGGTGGTGGATACCCTAGTTGAGCCATGACAATGGCATAGGGTTGACCGGTTGGTCAAACGGGGCCAAATTATCAGTATCGGCAACCTATCAGATAACAGCCCGAAAAGGGATTTCGGAGACTTCTAAATTATAGTTGAGGGATGCATATTGATTCTAAGGTCCATTAAGAATTGGGAACAAGTGTTATATTTTATTTGACCCGATAAAATAAAATATACTTAAAACAGTCCGAAAAATACAACTTTTGGGGCAAATTGCACACTTTGGGACAAATTGGGATGACCTCCCACATGGGTGGGGGCCACCCCACGAAATTGTCAACCCTTGAGGGCTGGATGAGTGCCAAATTGGCTGAACAACAATTGAGAGGATGGGGGAGACACCTTTGACATATAGTAGGCCCCCTTCCTTCACTCATTGTCTAAAGGAGACAAGAAGGAACCACCCCTACCTCCTTACACTCATCATTTCGACCCAAATACACCAAGAAGGAGAGAAGAGCTCTGCAAACTTCATCTCCATAGCCCAAATCCGAACTCAAGCTAAAGGGAGTCCAAGAAGAAAGTTTAAGGAGGAAAAAGCTAGGAAAAAGTGTGAAAATTAAGGTAATGACCTTATCATAACTTTTCCTTTGTTTTTCTTCTAGCATATAAGGTATATATCATATAAAAGACCTTTAGTATTGTTCTACATGATTTAAGTGTGGAATGATGGGTTGGAAAGTGATTCTAAGTCCAAAAACGGACTTAGAAGCCAAATCGACCGGTTTGCCGGAAAATAACCTTTTATAGGTTATTTGTGTTGATATGGGTTTTGTGATGATAAAACCTTGTTAGGAACTTGATTTAAAGTATTTTTGAGCTTCGCCGGAGTTTCGTCGGAGTTGGTCAAAGTTCGCCGGAGTTGGTCAAAGTTCGCCGGAGTTGGTCAAAGTTCGCCGGAGTTGGTCAAAGTCCAATCGAGAGACGTAGAACGCGCTTAAGCTTAATTAAGGTGAGGATGACCGACTATGATACTTATAATCTTTGGGTTAATTTCATGGGATTTCCTAAGTGAATATAAATGTGATGTGCGTGAATTGTTGATGGTTAAAAATGCATAAATAGAACTACTAGTGATTAAAAGTATAGTATGCATGATACACAAATTTATGAATAAATTGTGTATGTTTAGATGTTATGAATATGTGTGTATGATGGTTGTACCAACCATGAATATCATTTGGGATAGTATACTTTGATGCCATGAGGAGAAGCCATGAAGGTATGAAAGTGATACTTGATATTAAGGCCAACTATGCAAGAAGAAGGAATTATATTGAAATAAATAAATAACTAGCATTGAAATATTAGTTGGAAATGTTAGTTGAGAAATGGATGAATTAGATCCTAAGAATTTGAATTATAAGGAATCGGTGATTATGAGCCAGGCTCAAGACCGATGTAGATGACGGTGATTATGAGCTGGGCTCTAGACCGTAGTAAATGACGGTGATTATGAGCTGGGCTCTAGACCGTAGTCGATGACGGTGATTATGAGCTGGGCTCTAGACCGTAGTAGATGACGGTGATTATGAGCTGGGCTCTAGACCGTAGTAGATAAAGGTGATTATGAGCTGGGCTCTAGACCGTGATAAAAAAATGATGAATTGATATTAAATGAACGGATTAACTATAATGTAATAATAATGCCCTAGTTGAGGGCCTCAGAGATTCAAACTTTGATTATACTTAGTATAGTTGTCATTGTACTTTTCAAATGCTTCCAAGTACTGACCTCCCCTTCACGGGGGAGGCCACCTCACAGTTTCAGGTAGAACTTGAAGGTTGCTACCACCAGCCGCTGCTTCGGGAAGTTTCTGAGGAGAAGACTTGGTTCGTGCTTCTCCCGTTCTTGTTTTGAAAAACAATATGAATAAATGCTCATGGATAATATTTTCTGAATAATTACTTTGGGGGCTTGCATGCCCAATTATGCCAAGTGTGGCTTGAACACTTGTATCAATTGTTTCCGCTGCTTTAATAAATGTTTTACATTACGTTTGTTTATGGATGTACTATGTGTGAATGGTATTCAAGACGCCTTGTATAGTGTGGATGAATCGGACTGCGGTTGATTATTCGTACTGTACGGCGGGTTATCGACGTGTCCGGGTAGGTCCGGGGCGTGACACCTAGGCAATTGCATATTACCTAAACATATGCTCCAGAGATTCATCTACAGCTCCGCACAATCCATAGAGCCCCGAACAATCAACTCTTTGAACCTGCAAAATAGAAGGGAGTTAGTTCAAATTAGCTAACTAACTATTAAATGGCTCTTTTATCCCTGCGTGGATATTATTACTATAAATAGAATAATAGAAGCAGGTTGTAATGCAGACTGTTATTTGGTTGTTGAGACTTGGCTTTTGGAGATTGGGCGTCTCGAATAGTCCCTGAGCATTGTATCCCTGTGAGCTGTTCAGTTGGAGAATAAACCTGTTCGAATTGTTCTTCTCATTTTGCTATTGAATTCATACTATTCTGCCTTTATCATTATCAATACCCTATCATTGGTATCAGAGCACTCGCTCCTAGTGATCGAAGTGTTCGGCGACATCAGCAACACTTACATTCGACGGTGGATGGTAAGGACCAGAGCAAAACTGGAGTTTCGCATAGATACGATGGAACGGAGTATGGCGGAGATGCGGGGGATTCTGTCAAAGGAACAAGAAGGATTACGCTCATCAGTGGAGGATCAGCATGTTGCAATGGTTTTAGCAATGGAGTCTCTTAGGGTATTGAAGATTATGAGGGACTATCATGACTCTGCAGTAGGGGGTCACTCAGGGTATTTCAGAACTATGAAAAGAATTTCTAATTTGTTCAATTGGCATGGTATGAGGACTGACGTCAAGAAGTATGCGGAAGGATGTCCTACCTATCAAACCAACAAATATCAGGCTCTTAAACCAGCAGGGCTGCTTCAGACCCTACATATTCCTAGTAATATATGGACAGATATGAGTATGGATTTCATAGGTAGGTTACCTAAATCCCATGGGAAAGATACTATCTTAGTCATTGTTGACAGATTAACTAAACTTGCCCATTTTTTGGCCCTTTCTCATCCATTGGTTGCATTGGGCTGAGTTTTGGTACAACACTAATTACCATTCATCTCTGAAACTAACTTCTTATAGGGCTCTGTTTGAGCAAGATCCTCATGCAATCATCAGAGGAGATGTTGTTAGGAATATTTTATGGTGTCCAATATAATTAAATATCTTTGTATTTGTGTAGTTATTAATTAAACGTGTAATACGGGCCACAAATGTGTATCAGCCCGTGGGCTTCCTTGTAACCCGTAAGTGAGCCA